GCTTAACGACTGAGCCACCCAGGCGCCCCTTAAAGATTTTTAAATATTTATTTGAGAGAGAGAAAGAGCACGAGCAGGGGAAGAGGCAGAGGGAGAAGCAGGCTCCCCGCTGAGCAGGGAGCTGACATGGAGCTCGATCCCGGCACCCCCGGGATCATGATCATGACCTGAGCCGAAGGGAGAAGGCAGACCAGACGTTTCACCGACCGAGTGGCCACCCGGGTGCCCCTTTTAAATGGAGATTTGATGTTGACTTGTTGAGGTCTGATAAATTTGGAGTTACTGTAACCAGGAAGAGTTAATGTCCCTGTCAAGGGGTTGTCTTGGTCAGCAGGAAACCTAGCCGTTTCAGGGACTCTTTGGGGTTTAGATTCTTTTTTTTTTTTTTTTTTTTAATTTTATTTTTATTTACTTGACAGAGAGAGAGATAGCAAGAGCAGTAACACAAGCAGAGGGAGTGAGAGAGAGAGAAGCAGGCCTCCTGCCCAGCAGGGAGCCCGATGCGGGACTCAATCCCAGAACCCTGGGATCATGACCTGAGCCGAAGGCAGACGCTTAACCACTGAGTCACCCAGGCGCCCTGGGGTTTAGATTCTATTTACCATCAGTAGATCAGAGTACACACAGGTGATTTTTATTTCAGTCCGTTTAAAATATAACTCCTTCACATTTGTATGTGAAATGCAGTGTAGGTTGATGTTTGGCAAAGTGCCGCTGTTTCCCCGCGATGACTCCAATGCGCTCAGGGCTCCAGTCCGGGGTGGCACTTGTGATTGCAGTGTTCCACTGAGCCTCCAGGGGGCGTGCTGACGGGCAGATCCCACTTCCAGAGTCTTGCGACTTCAATAAGCCAGACAGATGGCTCTTGTGCTCCATAAAATGTGTCTTTTCTTTTTTTTTAAAGATTTTATTTATTTATTTGACACAGAGAGAGACACAGCGAGAGCAGGAACACAAGCAGGGGGAGTGGGAGAGGGAGAAGCAGGCTTCCCACGGAGCAGGGAGCCCGATGTAGGGCTCGATCCCAGGACCCTGGGATCATGACCTGAGCTGAAGGCAGACGCTTCACGACTGAGCCACCCAGGTGCCCAAAATGTGTCTTTTCATTTGGCTCATTACAGAGGAAGCTTCCCTCTTGTTTTTCTTTTCTTTTTCTTTCTTTTTTTTAAGTTGTCTGAGTCATAGCTTGAGGGCCTGGGCCAACTTTGTTTGAAAGTAAGACACCATAACCTTAAGTATGCAGACAAAAGGATTTTTTTGTTCTCCACTGAAGTTGCTCATTAGAGTATAAGGTTTTTGCTGTGGATGCGTATGGTTAAGCTGTACCTTTCTCTCTCTTCTTCCCCTGCAGGTTGTTTCGGTTATTAACATCAACCCCAATACGACTGACTTCACCGGGAGCTGTCAGCCTCAGACTGCCCTGCTTAGGCTGAACTGCAGCAACATCAAGTATCTTGACTTTGTCTTCGCTGTGGTGAGTAACAGATTTCTCTAAGATTAAGTTTGTTTTCTTAGAAACACATCTGAAAGTCTAAATAGCTATGTGTGTGTGTAGGGGGGTGGATTTAGCTCTGTTTTCCATTTCAGCACTACTGAGTTATAAAGTGTAGCCCATCGACCCCTCTTAATCCCTCATAGTCACCTCAGTGGTCTGTGGGCTGGATTCTTAATATTCATGTTCACCAAAAGCGACTATTCGCCCATTATATAGACTTCACGGTAGGGGCAAGAATTAACCCACTTCAAGAAAACGAAAACAAAAACCTCTCTAATCTACCCAATACAGAAATATTTAATAATAAAAGTATATATATTTATATATTATATATTGCAAAAGATAAAAAGTAATTTCCATAATATGTTTCTCTATTATTGGTTGGAAAACTCATGTTTGTTTACTCTAATATTTTAGGTTTTGGGGAGGCTATACTGTTTGTCATAGTATCAGTAACAATAATAGCTAACATTTATCGAGTACTTGCCATCTACAAGACTCTGTGTAAGTACTTAACATGCATAAAGTCATTAAATCAAGATAGCGTATAATGGTAGCATTCGGATTTTTGTTGTTCATGCTTGTATGAAGGGCTGAACCCTAAAGAGAAGATTCCAGGTTAAGCATATGTGCTCTGCTTCTTGCTAGCATAAATTCATCACCGAGGACTTTCATTTCTACCTTCTCAGAAGCAGTTATTACCCTCATAATTTTTGGGGGGGTGTGTGTGTGTACGTGTTCTGGCAAATGGGAATGGGAAAGAGGGGACAGCCATCAATGAGGGAAAATTTAAGCCGCCGGCAGTTCTCAAACTAAGGGTTATTGTATAGGTAGATTAAAAACCAGTTCTGCTTTTAAATAAGATTACAATATCTAGGGATGGGGAAATACTCTCAACATCTGATATATAAAAAAAATTAGATGTGTGGTGTTTGTTTCAAGTCCAAACTTGGTATCTTTAGTCTAAAGCCCTTTTTCTCTATGGAATATACGCAGAGTAATTGAGGATTATATCAGGCAATTATATCTTAGAGAGGTTTATAAAAATCTTCCCTTTACCAGCGTTGAAATCATTCCTCTGTTACAGTACACATGTGACCAGAGGATTAGTATTAAAAAGGTCTGGTCAGGCTCGTCCTCTTCGATGCGGTAAAGCAGGCTTCCCCAGACATATTCTCTTTTAAAGTTATCTCATAGGGATTATACTATCAGTAAGAATGAATAAAATAGTATTTTAGGTTCCTTCCCTTTGGAGTGATTGAGTTTGATCTTTCTAGCTGTGGTCGGGTCCTAAGAGGAACATGGTTTCTTCTAACTCTTACGGGGAAATATTTAATAATTATAATATCTAATTTGCCCAACAGACTATTTTTTTTAAAGATTTTATTTACTTATTTGACAGAGAGCACAAGCAGGGGGAGCGGCAGGCAGAGGGAGAAGGAGAAGCAGGCTCCCCACTGAGCAGGGAGCCCGACGCGATGTGGGGCTCCATCCTAGGACCCTGAGATCATGACTGTCCTTCCCGCTTGTGCTCTCTCTCTTTATCTCTGCCTCTTTATCTCAAATAAATAAAATCTTTTTAAGAAAATAAAAAAAAAATAGTGACATTTTAACCATGCTATAGGCACTTTGAAAAATCAAGAAACACCTGCAATATCACCAGACTTCACTGGGGCCCATCTTCAACCCTGTCATGATAGACACTTTGAAGGAGAATTTATTGAATTCGAGTTTGTTGAGTACAGGATGCCATGGTGGGATTCAAAGAAGAAGGCCTCTATTAATAAGGAGCCCACAGTTTAGTGGTAAAGATAAAAATATACAAATGACCGTTTTTGTGGAAGGCCTTGAATACTACACTAGGGCTTTTGAACTGGATTCTGTGGGCAATTAGAGCACCATTGGGAGGTGCATTCCGGGTGGGATGAGTGATAGGCCAGGAGAAAATACAAAGTCTGTGAGAGTATAGAGGGGCAGTGGTTAATTCTGGGTGTAGGAGAGTCAGCAGGGTTTCACGGAAGAGATGACATTTGAACTGGACCTTCAGGGATGGGTCAGGTTTGTACACGTGGAGATAAGGGGAGTAAGCGGAAAAGTATACGTTATTTCTGGAAAAAGGAACGCGATCAAGACCAGCTGGGAGAATGAGGCACGTGGCATGTGAGGGAAAGACAGGCATGGGAAAGTAGGTGGGACAAATCGTGGGGAGCCTTGAATGCCAAGGCGAGACATAGCCTAAGGCGAGGAGAGGTGTAATGAGGTGGTCAATTCCTTTGTGCTTCCTCCTGACATTTCTCTGCATCTGTCCCCTCCATTTTTGTTCCCCACGGCCTCTGCCCTGAGTCCAGCCTGCATGACCTCTTACCTCCCAGCCTCCCAGCTAGTCCTTCTTCCTCTCCTCCCTTGGTATTCTTCTGCATCCGCTTAATCTTCTGGAAGCACAGCTCCTCCCCAGAAAGCTTCAGCGGTTCTGTTTTACCAACAAGGTAACCTCTAACTTCCATGGCAGGGTAGTTCAAGTCTCTCCCCCACACTGCCCCCCCCCCCGCCCCCCGCCGCCATGCAACGGAACCTGCATAACCTGCATATCCGGCTTTGTGTCTCCTCCTTTCCCTTCTCATGAAGCCTGTGTTCTGTGAGGTAGGAGAGCGCGGTAGCAACCAGCGCCTCGGCTCTGCAGCCAGACTTCCGGGGTTCAGATCCCGCCTCACTGGCCACTAACCATATGGCCTTGGGGAAAATCACTTAACATCGCCATACTTCAAGCACCCCATCCCAGGATGGAGTGTTACGGTTATTCAGTGACACCTCACCTGTAAAAAATTTTTTAAGATTTTATTTATTTATTTGACAGAGAGAGGCAGGCAGAGGGAGAGTGAGAAGCAGACTCCCCACTGAGCGGGGAGCCCGATGCGGGGCTCGATCCCAGGACCCCGGGATCATGACCTGAGCCGAAGGCAGATGCCTCACCGACTGAGCCACCCAGGCGCCCTCACATTGTGAAGTTTTAAGAACATCGCTTGGCACTAAGTTTTCAAATGCTGCCGTACTTGTGATGGTGCTTATTTTCTGGCTACCTTTACTCATGCGCTTGCCTTCCTGAATACCCTTTTCTGCTTGTTTCCTCATTGAATTCGGCCCAGTTCAAATGGCGCATCCGTAAGCTCGTATCGCTCTGCTTCTCCCCTACTTCGAAGTCATCTATCTCTTTTTAATTTTTATAATTTATCGCTGTCTTTTTTGCAATATGGTTATTTCTTTATGTATTTGTCTTCTCTTCCCTGGCAGATCGCAGACACGGTGGGGGCAGGATCCAAGCCCGGTTCATTCGGCTAGCTCCCTGGAGTACTTAGATATGTTGCCTTGTACATGCTAAGCACTAACGTAATTAGAATGACTGGCTGATAGATGCGTGCTTCACAAAGATAATAGTGGCGAAGGAAAGCTCCCAGCTGGAGAGGCTGAAAGGCGGGGAGGGAGCCCAGTTAAGAGACTGTCATGATCCAAGCTAGAGGAGGTGGGGGCTTAGCAAGTGACAGGAGGAATAAAATGAGGGAACGAATTGTTGAGTGTTGAAGAACCACGTGACTACACCGTTGGTCCAAAAATTGGAAACAAAATGCAGAGGAAAAAGGATTCTGTCACATTTTCCTTAGCTGCAGTTTATTCTGTTGGTCCGGGTCTAAGCCATGGTTTTATCTTCTGGGTAATAGGATTAGATTGCTTTTCATCTGTAGATATTAACTGTACCTTTAGACAGGTGTGATGCGTTGATTAACTGGAAGCTCTTTTTCTAACAGAAAAATGAAAACCGATTCTATCTGAAGGAAGTGAATGTCAGCATGTACTTGGTTAATGGCTCTGGTAAGCAAAGCATTGGCCTTGGGGAAAAGAGTAGGTTACACTGAAGGAATAGAAACCATAGTTTTTTTGTTACCAAATAGTGCCTTTTATTTAATGGAACAGAAGAATCTATGTGAAAATTATACCTTGACCACAACTGAAAATCAGTAACTGAGAACTATAGTGTTTTTATCTTTTCAGTCTCCCTCATTTTCAAGTAGGGTGGATAATAGTTAAGGATGTGACTGATTTTTAGACCACAGAAACATCTATAGGAAGATAGGAAACTTAGTGATCCTAAGAATTGCTTTTTTTTGGTAGACCCTGTACCCCAGGCTCCCATACTTCACTGAAAAATTCTAAGGACTGTCCCATTTCTTACGTTGATAGAATAAGAAGTTACTATAACAGGGGCCCCTGGCTGGTTCAGTCGGTAGAACATGCGACTCTTGATCTCTGGGTCGAAAGTTCGAGCCCCATGTTGGGTGTAGAGCCTACTTAAACGAAACAAAACAAAAGCTCCTAACATGTTTGTTTTCTTTAAAGTTTTCAGCATCGCAAATAACAATCTGAGCTACTGGGATGCCCCCCTGGGAAGTTCTTATATGTGCAACAAAGAGCAGACTGTTTCAGTGTCTGGAGCATTTCAGATAAATACCTTTGATCTGAGGGTTCAGCCTTTCAATGTGATGGAAGGAAAATATTCTACAGGTAAGAACCGAGCAAGTTTTATCAATAACTTATGTTCTTATGTTGACTAATAGGTGGCTTTTCCTTTGACTCATGGAAATTTAAGCACTGAAATAGAGAAATATGAATTCACCTCTTGTGACTCTGTTGGAGAGTTCGCATGGCCTTGAGCAAGTTCTGTGAACTCTGTATTTGGCCCATCATTTTGCTCAAAGTAGATTTCTTTGTGTGTGGATCTGAAACCCACTTGCAACCAAGTTCTTAAAACTCAAAACTGATGGAAGCATTCAGTGAGCTTTGCTTAAGGTATTGATACTCCCCGCTAGGTTTTAGTTTGTGGGAAGGATGGCAGCTTTGAGCATCTGGGATCTGTTTTCTTGGGGCCATCTTCTCGTTGGAAATATTTTCATACACAAATAAAAGCAGTTTGGTCTTACTTTGTTAAGACAGAAGATTACGGTTAGGCAAAGCCTCAAATACCATGGACAGTGTTTTGGCCGGCTGAAGTGTGCATGAGGCTTTTTGGAAGATCTGCTCGGGGCTGATGGTGGTATTTATCAGATTTTTAACGAAACCTTTTGTGGAGGGCTCATGGCAGTGCGTTTATACAAATATGAAAGATGCATTTGGCATTACAAGCTTAAAATTTGCACGGAGGCAAAAAAAAGTCCATAAAATTCCTTAATTGACTTGTCCTTTAAAACTGATTACTTAAAATTGGGGGTTTGTGGATCACAGCTCTGCTGAGCAGAGCTATTCAGACCATCCACATCCTTTTTAACAGTTAATTCTATGGTTTAGAAGGAAATGTGGCAGCTGTGTTTAAAAGTGACTATGCCCTGAGCCGCTCAGCTGCTTTTGCGCTGGTGCTGGTCACCAGCCTGACTTGGTTAGGCCAGAATAAGTTGGGATCCTCACCCTACCATTCTCATGCCTGGAAAGGTTAATCACACTTAGAAATTTTTCTCAAGAATTTGTTTTCCCTTTTGTCAGTATTGCTTATGTACTACAATTATTTTGATCCTTTCATAGTTTTATTTTTGAGTCTTTATCTAGCTCCCCTCCATTATTACCCTAATTTTAGGTCCAGATTGGTGTTTAGAATTGAAAATCATTTGCGGCGTGATACCAGCTTGAGTCTGTTCATCTATCTAGTCAGCTCTAATAGCGATGAGCTGCATTCTTTCCCGAATTTGAAACTTTGGTTTTTGTGTATGTCGAATTAAAAATGGTACCCAAAGGAATACACAACATTGAATACTGGCAGTGAACATGTAATCTGTTTGTGGAGCTAGGTTCTTGACTATGGGTACCTATAGGTACAACGCACTGCTAATTCTTGACCGTGCAGGAGGAGGAAGTAAGCTTGCAGTCAGGTCAAAGAGTGTTGAATGGATTTTACTGGATCAGACTACTCTCTGGAAATAGAAAAGTTAGCCCCCTGTGGGCTGCCAGCCCTAGCCAGGTTAATAAATGTAGTAAACACACGCACATCAGTAAGAGGTCCCAGCTTCTTGACTTCTGTAGCCACTAGGATCATATACTCTAGGTCAGGGATGCGCAGAGTTTGTTTGTAAGGTACGGGCAGTAAGTGTTTTAGGTTTGGAGACCACATGGGCTCTGTCACCACTATTCAGCTGTCCTGTTGTAGCACGAAAACAGCCATAGGCAATAAATAAATGAGTGTGGCTGGGTTCTAATAGAACTTTATTTATGGATACTGAGATTTGAATTTCATATAATGCTCATGTGTCACAAAATTTCTGTTGTTTTTTGGGGTTTTTTTTTTTTTTTTTGGCCATTTAAAAATGTGGAAAAGCCAGTTTTAGCTCTTGGGCCAGATTTGGCCTCCAGGCTATAGTTTGCTCTCTGCTCTGAAAGATTCGAGAGCCAGCATGGTTCTAATCCCATGATTAAACCTTTCTGATCTGTTCTCAGCTTCCCAAAAGACATTCACTCTAGCACTAAGAGGCTAATCTGGCTATGTAGAGATGGGTTAGAACTAGCTCTCTTCATTTCTTTTCTTTTCTTTTAAAAAAAGATTTTATTTATTTATTGGGGCGCCTGGGTGGCTCAGTCAGTTAAGTGTCTGCCTTCGGCTCAGGTCATAATCCCGGGATCAAGCTCTAGCTTGGGCTCCCTGCACAGCTGGGAGCCTACTTCTCCCTCTCCTCCTCACCTTGTGCTCTCTGTCGCTATCTCGGTCTCTCTCCAATCAATCAATCAATAAAAAATATTTGAGAGAGAGAGCGTGCACGTAAGCTGGGGGAGGGGCAGAGGGAGAAGGAGAGAATCTCAAGCAGACTCTGTGCTGAGCGTGGAGCCCCATGCAGGGCTCCACCTCAGGACCCTGAGACATGACTGGAGCCAAAACCAAGAGTTAGATGCTTAACTGACTGAGCCACCCAGGTGCTCCTCTTCATTCCTCTATTTTAGAAAGGACTTGGAATATGAAACACATACACATATATATGTGCTTACTCATAGATATAAATGAGTATGTATGTATTCATACATATGAATATACATACACCCACAAAAGAAAAGGCAAATACGTTTTAGGATTTTAATTCTAGAGCAATCCATAATTTTCTGTAGCTTTATCATTAAAATATACCTGTCTTTATTACTTAAAGTTGATTTTGTAAGAGCATTTCTGACTTTTGAATCAACATCTTTTACTTTTGGACATTCATTTTTGATTATACTCATTATATGTTACACACTTTTTCTCACCTACAGCCCAGGAGTGTTCGCTGGATGATGACACCATTCTAATACCAATTATAGTTGGTGCTGGTCTTTCAGGCTTGATTATCGTTATAGTGATTGCTTACCTAATTGGCAGAAGAAAAAGCTATGCCGGATACCAGACTCTGTAATACTAATCCATATGTGATCTGTGTTACAAAATAATAAAGCAAGTACAAGTTCCAACATGCAATACTGTTCAATTTCAGGTATATTTAGTTGTAATTCTGATTTTAGAATGGATGGTGTGGGGGATTTCAAACTTACATAAATAAAAACACCCTAAAAACTATAAACTACAACTTAGTCACCTGATTTTGGTTTCCCCAACCAAGGAATTTTAAAACTGTTATTTCTACGGCAAAAAGCATGTGTAAAATCACCTGATTATTGGTTCTATTCTATTATCTTGAATTAGTATTTCAGTGTTTTCACTTTATGTATTCTGACTAGAAATATACAGTTTAGGAAAAACAGTTTTCAAAAAGAGATTTTTTTTTTTTTCCTGCATGTAGTCAAAATTGAGACCGTGCATCCTACAGTGGATTTGTACTTGCTCCCTTTGTACTTTTTTGTGATTTTGTTTGCAGGTTAACTTAGCTACTTTGGCGTTGCTGCATATTTGAACTATGAGAGATATGCCAGTAGATTTGAACAGAGTCTAGTATTATGTTCTTAGCAATGAATGCTTTTCTAATGCCTTTTGAATATACTTGTATTTAATGCGGCTGTAATGACAAAAGGTACAAAAGCTGTATACATTTTGGAATAGGTGTTAATCTTCTTGTTTAATCCTTTTAAAAAAAAACTGGATTTTTCAGTCTTTTAAATGGCAAGACACAAGACTATTCCAGCTGGGCATTTCAATCCATTTTCTAGGTGCTTTAGAGATAATTGCTAGGCCGTGCCAATTTGGGGCATTAGTCCTTTGTTACCTGTAAATTGGCCTGTGCGTACACTGCAAAAATGAATGTAGTTTCTCTTTAGCTTTGCAGTATCCTTGGTGGTGGTAGTATGTTATGTTCTTTTCTTGTTTTTTTTTTTTCTTTTTCTTTTCTTTCTTTTTCTTTCCTTTCCTTTCTCTTCCTTTTCTCTCCTGTCCTTTTCTCTTTCTTAAGAAATGCCAGAATGTCCTAGAACCCAGATAAAGAAGTGCACTTAGACTTAGCAAGTAACCTGCACCTAACCCAAAAGTCTTGGTCTTCTCTTAGTCCATTAAAAAGTTGTTCTTTGTTTCCGGCTTGCATTGATATTTACAACATTTACTAATTTGGCTTTCACATTTAAATAGTTCTGTGCTAATCAAAACTTAACGTTATTATTGTTCATTATGGTAGAATCATTATTAATTCATGTACTTTGTGTTCGGTTTTGTGCTCTGGGGAGATGCACCAGTTGTCCATTTACCGTGCACCACCTAATGTTTATATGAGAAAGCAAAACATTTCAGCTTGATAGTTAACACGTCAAGTATTTCTCGCTGCTTCCAGATTTTTTTTTTTTTTTTTGGTATTGGAATGGCTGAGTAAATATTAAAGAGTTGTTAGTATGCAGCCATATATGTAAGGTTCTTGTGTTTTTGGGGTGGGAGATGACGTGCCCCCATATTCACTAGAAAATGGGACATCTGGGTTCCAAACTCTTATCGATGTTGAACTAATTCGGTAGTCTAGCTCTACACACCACGCACACACAGAGGCAATTGCCTGTTAGCATGTGGATGTCTGTAAGTATCTTTCGAGTTATATTGGAGTGGTAAATATTTTCTCCCACTTAAATTTGCCCTCTGCTTAGAGTAGCCTGAAACTCTTATTGGCTCAGAATCAGATTCTTGACCAGCCTCTTCCTTCCAGCTACACTGAGCTGCATTACCAGCTTAAGGCACTTTTGGAGGACTAAATATAAATCCAATTTTTAAAACTTATTTTTTACTTAAATAGTGTTCTAGTGTAGGATTGTTAACCTTATATGAATGGATAATGCTTATAAGAAAATAGACATTAGATACTTCTCGTGAGTCAAAACAAAGCAGCTTTTTTTTATTTTGAAAATAAAAATTGGAAGCACAAGTGGGTGGCACGAGCTTAATGCTGTTAATGTTTCTAAAAGTTTTTACATTTAGATTATATACCTAATTCCTATTAAAATACCTCTAATTAGCACTGTTTTATAGAAAATCTGACTTCACTGAATATTTTTGTATTTTACATGGACCAGTTTATATACTCTTATTTACGCTATTATTTCCTATAGCCACATGTTCTTTGTAC